CTTAAAAGTGGGGGAGAGGGGTCAAGAGGTTCCACCCACTCTGTGGCCCCCACCCCTTCCCCTGAGGCTCCACCCCCAAACCAAGCCAGAATCCAGAGCCCAGCTGGGGAGCCTGGATCCCTCCACCTGCCTACGGTGTGGGGGCCCAAGAGCAGCCACCAGCCTGTGTCCCCACTCCCTGGACCCACCCATCCAGGGCAGGTGGAGGGTCCGCGGCTCCCCACAGCTGCCCGCATGGCTTCCAGCCTGGCCAGGGCCTCGGGGGCCGAAGAGCCACAGCCAGGCCATGGCAAGAGCTGCCTGGGCAGCTGTGGGGAGCCGCGGACCCTCCATCTGCCTTGGGCGGGGACACAGGCTGGGGGCTGCTCTTACCCTCCCCCCCTCCCCCGCCAGCAGGTGGAGGGTCCAGGGCTTCACAGCTGCCTGGGCTCTCTGGGCTACTCTTACCCCGGTCGGGCTCCAGTTTCCGGCCTGGCCAGGCGGCGGGGCCTCAGGGGGAAGAGGAGGGGCAGGGGTCCAGGCCCATCCACTTTCTAGCACATGTTTACTACTGGGGGAATTCTGTGCCAAAGTATTAAAAATTCTGAGCACAAATTCTGCAAAATTCTGCATAGTTTATTTGTCAAAATAACACAATATAATCACACCAGTTTCAATTATTTTGGTAATTTATTTCAAAATACCTGGCAGCAAGTACGTCTGTAACAATAGACAATAAAAAAGATTCAAGAAATGTTTTTTGACAAATAGATTCCTTACTAGGCATATTAATACAGAACTCTGAATAATAATTCATTTAAACTACAATACAGAACCGTATTTCCCGTACCACTCAGAAGCAGTGCAAAGACTTGCGTGAGTCAGGCAGGGGTAACGAAGGAGCTGAGGGAAGTAATTGCTGGGAAGGATCCTGGATGTGAATTTGGAGAGTTATTGGGTGTGGGTTGGAGAAGTTTGGAACAGGTTTTTTGGGGGGATGGGGAGAGATTGTTAGGGAGCCTCCCCCAAGTGGACCCTGGCTGACCCCAGCCTCTCCCATTCAGTCAGGCACATCTGCCTCTGTCCCCATGTGTCCCTGCACTCCCTCCTCCTGTCCCCATGTGTCCCTCAACCCCTACTCAGACACCCCCATGTGTCCCTGTGCACCCACTCAACCAACCCCCTTTCCCCCATGTGTCCCTGCACCACCACTCAGCAAGCCCTCTCCCCCCATCCCCAGGTGGCCCTGCACCCCCCTGTGGGCCCTGCACCTCCATTCCCATTCAGCCCCTGCCCCAGTCTGTCCTCCCCCAATAGCCCTTACGAACCCCAGTCTGTGACTCCCCCAGCAGCCCCACGTGCCCCACGCTATCTGTACCCCCCATATCTTCCACCAGCAGGACGCTTCTAGGAAGGCAGCCTCTTCTCTTCCCTATTGGCAGCTGGGACTGACGCAGGAGCAGCTGTTCTGTTCTAGCACCACATAGCCCCTGGTGGGTAAAAGGCGTAACTGCAGCAACTTTCCAGCAGAAGTTATTTTTTGTGGGGGGGTGGGGGAGAATTCTGCTCAGCACAGGAATTCTGCCCATGCACCATAGCACAAAGTTCCCCCAGGAGTAACATGTTGCAAGACTGCTTTACAAGTTTTCCACATCTTTACACCATTTTAGAAACCTGTCAAAACTAGCTAACGGCAGCAGTCTTACCAAAATCCAACAGAATAATATGAATTTTGAGTTTTTAAACAAAGTCCCTCTAAAGTGACAAGCCAAAAAAAAGTTAGGAAAATGTCCCATAAGTGAGTACTTTTTTGAATCCTTTTATATTCCACTTTTCTCATTTGATTTGCCTCAAATTTACCAGAAAAAAAAAATCCTGACATAAGAGCATACAAGTAAAATTTCTGGTAGATTGGTTTAATTACAGTGGAATTGGGGATTGAGGTGTGTAAAGCATCTTTAAAAAGACCAATTTTTGGAAGAATGCTAGTTTTCTATTCTAAAATAATGCAGGAGTAAAAAGGTTTGAGGCAATACTAAGGTCCATTAAAAGCAGATTTTTTAACAACTATCTTCGATATGCAATTAATTTCAGGTTATTATATAAACGGTGTGCTACCAAACTGGATTTTTTAAAAAAGTCAGTTAATAAAAATCCAATTGTCCTTTCTATCCAGGTTCTGATAACAGCATTCATCACCCTTGTTATATGCGTGCAGTCAAACAGAACAACCCATATGGTTAAAGCAGTGGTTCCCAAACTTTAACAACCTGTGAACCCCTTTCACTAAAATGTCAAGTCTCGCGAACCCCCTCCTAAAAATGAATATTTCCAGGAATTTTCTCCTTTACCTGAGTATAAATTAGAAGAGCAGTGATCTTGGAAGTATAATTTTTTTTATGACATGCTTATTACAAACTCTTTATTATTAATTATTATTTATCATTACAGTATTTTTATTACATTATGAAAATGGCAACACTCTTCCAAGATCTCACTTTCATAGCTTGTATCACTTTGAATAAGTCTGTTATAAGACAAGGCTCCTATGTTTCATCAAGGAATATCAGATGTGAAACAGCATGAAGGTATTTAAGAAGCCAACTCAAAGAGTTCCTCCTACACAAGCATTCAAGTCTTGAGCAGTCCAGGCAAACAACGCACGTTACAACAAAGCTTAAACTTGTTCTTCATAATAATTTTAAAAACAATACTAGGTGCCTATTTAATTTTAAAACCAGCAAAAAATATCCACCATCCTTTCCATTTCTTATAAGGAGTCTTGAAGTTTAAATCTCCTCAGTGTGATAGATATGCTTGCTTTGATCTGCTTAGCTCTTGGAAGTCCAGGAGCTCCGGGCTGCTGGCCCCGGGTCCCTAGGGACAACTCTGTCCGCCATTAGGGAATTTTTTCCTGAGAACCCTCTGTAACATTTTGCGAACCCCAGTTTGGGAACACCTGGGCTAAAAGGAAGACAAATTTTAACTTCAATAAGCATAAGAAAGACATAATGGTAGTTTCATAACTAAAATGGCTGGGAATCTACACTGAGGGCTGGTCTACACTGCCGCGCTAGTTCGGCGGCTGGGGATCGAAGTTCCGAGTTTGATTTATCGCGTCTGGTCTGGACGCGATAAATCGAACCAGGAAGTGATCCCCGTCGACTGCGGTACTCCAGCTCAACGAGAGGAGTACCGCGGAGTCGACGGGGAGCCTGCCTGCTGCGTGTGGACCGCGTCTGAACCGCGGTAAGTTCGAAGTAAGGTATGTCGAATTCAGCTACGTTATTCACGTAGCTGAATTTGCGTACCTTACTTCGACTTGGGGGGTAAGTGTAGACCAAGCCACAGACTTATTACTGGTTGTGACACACCAGAAAATTATAATGCCTGGTAACTGCATTAGAGGAAGAACCATATCTACAGATATTCACTGTAATTTGAGTCCTTTCAGTACCACAGCAACAGGGTTACGTCTATGAGCTTCACCTCAATTCTCTGAAAGATCTTTGTCGCATCTCTCCTAATAATAATAATAATAATAATCAGAAGTTGCAAGAGATTTGAGATGTTCTGAAGGGAAGCCAACTGAAGCTATGTCTACAATGTGCACTTTACAATGGTGCGGCTGTGCCGCTACAGCCATGCCGTTGTAAGGCGTACAGTGTAGCTGCTCTTTGTCACTGGGAGAAAGCTCGCCCAACAACAAAATAAAACCACCCCCAACGAGAAGTGGTAGTTTTGTCAGCAGGAGAGCGTCCACACCAGCATTTTTTGTTGTTAAAACTTTTGTCTTAACGAAAGTGCAGTATAGATAAGGGCTAAGTGCTGTAACACCCTGAGTACAGTAGAGGGTCCCTTAAATGGACCAACTCTGTGTTCCTCATTTTAAGGAGACCTAAAATTCTTCAATTTCAGTTTAAAAAATAAATCAGAATTAAAGGCACTTAAGAGTCTGGTAAGCTTCAGAGAGCAGGGGATGGGTCTTACCCATTTGTGTAATTGTAAATACTTACAGCGATACAACATGCCTACTTACAGATCCCCAAGACTACCACAGGCCTCTCACCCCATACTTTAAACCTGCTATAGATACACATGGCTGAGAGCCCAAGCAGATGCTGACAAGCTCTCAGAAATAATGAATAAATAAATAAATAAATAATAATAATAATAAAACCTCCAACACGTGGCTCTCGGAGGAGTCATCTGGAGGTGCCTGTAAGCTGGCTAAGCTCTGAATGAAGCACTTGTCCAGCCACAGAGCCTCCAAACCTGCAGCACCCGAGCAAGGCGTCAGCGACCCAGCAAAGCTCATATGGGCAAAATGGGGGGAAATGAGGGAGGCAGGCGGGCGGGGGGGAGGCGATGGTCTCTGAAGCTCAGGACTGGGAGCCGGATTTTCCTCTCCTTCCTCAGCGCCTCGCCCCGCAGCTACAAGAGGGGAGGGTGGGCGGCGGGTTCCTCGCGGCTGCGGGGGATGCGCTGCCCGATACCGGCACGGGGGGGGGGGGGGGTCCCGCGCGCCTCGTTACACAGGGGGGCGCTGGCAGGAGACGGCCGCGGAACCTGAACCGACCCAGCCAGACTCCCGCAGCCCCCCGGGAGCCCGGCCACAGCGCTGCGGCATGGGCTGGCTCCCTCCGCCCGTCTCACCGGCGCTCCCCGCCCCGGCCCTAGCCCTCGGCCCCTTCCCTGAGGAGAGTTTCACCCCCGTCCCTCCCCTCCCGGGGCCCGGCTCCCGCAGCAGCCCCCGTTACCTCTCCTGCTCCCCGCCGTTACCGCCCCGCTCGCCGCAGCTCGGGGGATGCTCGCAGCCCGCCCGGCCTCTGCGGAGCGGCACGTGATGCCCGGCCCGCTCCGCCCTGGGGAGGGGGGGCGCTCAGGCACCGCCTCCCGCCCTTGCGCCGGGCCCCTCACCTCAGCCATGGCGGGCGAGGCTGAGCCCCCCCCCTTCCCCGGGTGTGTCCAACGCTCCCCCCGGGCGATTGGCGACCCCTCCCCCCAAGGGCAGCCTGCCCCTCTGTGGGGAGCGGAACTCGCCCGCTCCGGGGACGGGGACTCCGCACTCCCGGCCCCCCCGTGGCTGTGGGACGGGCTTGCCTCAGCGCCAGGCGGGGTAAAGCCGCCCCCACAAAGGTAGGGAAGGGGGGGGTGCATGATTTCCCCTCCCCCGGGTGTGTGAGCGATCGCCTGAGGGCTCCAGAGAGCGTCCACCGCTGTCGGGGGAACCCTAGACGTCGGATGGAGGACGGGAGCTCCCTGGAGGATTTAGGCCAGTGCCCTACCCTGAGGCAGGACTAAGTGTTATCTAGACGGTGGTTCTCACTCAGAGGTATGCAGCCCCCTGGGGCTACGCAGAGGTCAGCCAGGGGGTACATCAGCGCCTGGAGAGATTGGCCTCCTTTTACAACAGACTAGAGCCCTGCAGCAGGACTGGGAATCTCCTGGGTCCCCACGGACCTGCTGCCATAATCGGGGGAGCAGGATAAAAATTCAACAAACAAAGGAGGAAACGGGCATTGTGGGAGAGGAACGGGATCTAAAAAAATAGGCCTTGTGCGCCAACATGAACGCCTCGGCCAGCAGCCACCGCTCGCCGGCTACCCACCTTTAAAGGCAGCACCGCCACCAGCACATTAGGGTGGCACTACCAAACCATGCAACTCTTAGTTCTGCACTGCTGCTGGCCGTAGCACTGCCTTTGGCTGTCTAGCTCTGCAAAGGGTACAGTAGTTTGGAGAGGTTGAAAACCACTGCTCTAGACCATCCTGGACAGGTGTTTGTATTTGGGTAAATCTCTCCCACCTCCTCCAGGAGGTAGATAAAGGAGACTTCGAGTATTTGTGGCATCAAAACAGCAGCCTGTGCAGATATTGCACACACAGCAGTTAAAGAATCTGCTAGGGCATACGTGAGGTATATTATGATACTTCTGTGCATGAGTGTACCTTGGACCACAGAGGTTTACATCCAGATGGGCGAATTCATCCCTGTTTTCACCCCACTGCAATTAAAACAGGAGTCTAGCCACTGGTTTCTTTGACTGTTTCCTAGGAGAAGTCCAGGAAAGCTAGACATACCAAGGTCCTGCAGAACTGCTGATTAAGGTAAATGGCCTGGCACGATGTTTTAGTAAATGAGATTGCCCTCTTTTGCTGTGGATGGCAGGGAAGAGAAGAGTGGTAGGTGGATGAAGGTTTACAAGCTGGTAATGTGGGGTGGGGGTTATGCAGGTTCCTTACATGTTCTTCCCTTAAATAAGTCACTGATTGTAGACTGTCTGTTCCATGGAACTTCAGACTACCCCTCTTGCTCTTGGGGTTTCCCATTACCAGCCCTTGTGCTGTTACCAGCTAGGTAGAAGGAAGGCGAGCCTCTATCTGACCTTGTTGAGAAAGTAGCAGAGGACCTCAGGAGCTAGGGTGGTCATGCTCTGTCTGACTTTTAAAATCATCTGATCCATCCCTCTGCCAAAACATGGTCCCTTTCTTACATGAGTCACAGGGTGTTTATCGACCAGAGTGTACTGGCTCAGGAATGTGAGGCTCATTAACACAAAGCCTAAAATTTATGCTGCCTTAAGCAAAGCGGAAAAATAGTACAGTATGCCTTGCCCCAGCCACACACCTGAGCCCAATCCTGCTACCAGTGAACATAATGAGAGTTTAACTATTGATTTCCCAGGAAGCGATATTGTTTAATTCTTAGCACCTCCATCCCACCCCCATTATAGCTCTACTGTTTTAGTGTGCCTTCACTTTCAGAAAAATCATTAGAGTCTGCAGTGACTGCTACCACCCCAGCTCCAGATGTAACCACACACTGCTTTATGTTGTATTTGGAGTAAGTGTAAAATGAGGTGAAGTTTTGGGGTTGGGTTTTTTTAGGAGGTGGCTGTAATAAAAATTTAACCACAGATGTAAGCGAGAAGCTTCTGAGCCATTATGCAGTACTTTATCTGCAAGGTGTATCATTTCTATCCTGCTGAACATTACATCATCAGAATAACTCCCATTAGTTAATCATACCCTGAGGGAGTGGCCTTTGTCCTAGCAGTTTTGGAAAACTATTTGTGACATTAATTAAAGGATGAATGTAAAGAATTACAGGGATCGTAGTTATTACCATACAGTAATAATAAACAATTGATTTGCACTCCTGTCCTGCTGCTGTTACATATTGAACCAACTTGACAAGACATACTGCCTCTTAAAACCAGTGTAGAAATATTAGGTGGAATTCAGACAGTTCCTCCTAATGTTTAAACCCTCCCATGACTTATCATTCTCCAGACATGTTGAGCCCTCTGAAATGATGCAGCACAAATAGTGGTAATTCAGGCTTCCCTCCCTGCCCGCATGCCTTACCTTTGTTTCCTAAACATGTTCAATGGCAAATGAACTCAAGTGATACTGAAGGGTTATCAGATGGTAACAACTTTTAAGTATCAGAGGGGTAGCCGTGTTAGTCTGAATCTGTAAAAAGCATTACTTGCATCTGAATAAGTGAGGTTCTTACCTAAAGCTTATGCTGCCAATACTTCTGTTAGTCTTAAAGGTGCCACAGGACCCTCTGTTGCTTTTAACAACTTTTAGTCACTACTGATTAACTTGCTGCTTTCTGTCATGCCAGAACACTATCTCCTGTACACAGATGTTTTATTGCTGTCCCCTTAGTAACTAACAGAAGGTGGTTGTATGTAGGAAGGAGAGCTGGGGGTAGATATAAAGTCTTGCTGGAGTATCTGGCTAGCTGTGTAATAAACTGCATTCATCAGAGACGTTATTCAGTCCCCAGCATTCTGGGCTCATGACATTTCAGGTAATTAGAGCATTGCACCATTAGAGCTAAAAGGGTAGACAGATTGTTCTGCTCATGCTGGAGATATAGAGGATGAAATTTCATTTTATGACCTCAGAAGAGATTCCTTATAGAATATACCAGCAAGATACTTTCAGAACCCGGAGAAGGAGTTCATAGATAAACCCTAAACACTTGTCATATGGAGGGCTTGGGATAAGAAGCTACAATTATTGCTCAGTAATGTGTGTCAAGAGCAGTTCCATAGAAGTACTCAATTTAAAAACACATATTACAAAGCATAGTGCTTAAGTACATCGGAAGCAGGAAGCCTGCTAAACAACCAGTGGGGCCACAGGAAGATCGGGATGGTAAAGGAGCACTCAAGAAAGATAAGGCCATTGCAGAGAAACTAAATGAATTTGCATCGGTCTTCATGTCTGATGTGAGGTAGATGTTCTATATCCATCTGTAGGATGGATATGGGCATAGGCACAGTAAGTCACTTCTCCAGTGTCACTCATAGGCAGAGTCTCTAGTCCAGGGGTGGCCAACCTGTGGCTCCGGAGCCACATGCGGCTCTTCAGAAGTTAATATGCGGCTCTTTGTATAGGCACCGACTCTGGGGCTGGAGCTATAGGTGCCAACTTTCCAATGTGCCTGGGGGTGCTCACTGCTCAACCCCTGGCTCTGCCCCCACTCCACCCCTTCCCGCACCCTCCCCTGAGCCTGCCGTGCCCTCACTCCTCCTCCTTCTCCCTCAGAGCCTCCTGCACACCGCTAAACAGCTGATCGGGAGGGAGGGAGGGGGAGGCGCTGATCAGCAGGGCTGCCAGTGGGTGGGAGGCGCTGCGGGGGGGAGCTGATGAGGGGCTGCTGACGTATTACTGTGGCTCTTTGGCAATGTACATTGGTAAATTCTGCCTCCTTCTCAGGCTCAGGTTGGCCACCCCTGCTCAAGTCCTTATTGCGGGTACCCTTCTTTGAACGCTAGAGAAGGCTACCCTGGCCCTGATCTTACAAACATCACATATAAGTAAGCTTACAGACTTGAATAGTTTAACAGAACCTATCATTTTTAACAGTAATTAACCATTGGAACATTTACCAAGGGTCATGATAGATTCTACATCACTATGTCATTGTGAATTTTAAAATCAAGACTGGATGTTTTTCTAAAGGATATGCTCTAGGAATTATTATAGGGAAGTTCTATAGCCTGCATTATACAGGGGGTCAGACTAGATGATCACGATGGTCTCTTCGGACCTTGGAATCTATAAGTTAGTATTTCCAGGACTTGGAATTGCAAATTACATCTGTTCAGGATGTCTGCTCTGTTAAGAATTTATAGTTTTGCCAAGACAAAATAATAGTGCCATAAGCAAGCTCAAATATAACTTGCTAACAAAATAACAGCTAGGAATATAAAGAATATTGATTGGATATATGAGTATTTTAAAATACACATTTTCTCTAGGAAAAAGGTGTTGTTATAATGCAAGTTAGCTCATACATGACAAAATCATAGCAAAAGATAAGGCAGTTTGTAGTTTTTTGCATGACTTAGCAAGTCAAATTAAAGACTATGGAGAAGCCTAGAATTTTCTTCACGCAGCCTTTACCACATATTAGTTAACACAAGGTAAGAGCACACCTTTGTCTCCTCCCCTCCACTCCCCTTCCCCCCAGTAAAGATAATGCCAAACAGGGTGTAGGGTGGTTCAGCTGGGGATCTTCCCCCTCCGGGGCAGCGGGGAGCCAGACCGCCTCGCTACTTTGGTCAGGTGCGTCGGGGAATTTAGCTTGGCTGTGAGGCAAACAGTCAGCAGCTCCGCAATGGTTCGGGCGGTGATACTCCGCAGCGGTACCGCCTCCGGGAAATGGGTAGCATAATCTACTAGGACCAACACATACTGAAATCCCGCGGTGCTTTTCGGGAGGGGCCCCACCACGTCCATGGCCATGTGTTCAAAGGGCATTTCGACTATGGGCATGGGGACCAACGGGGCCCTGGGTGTCCGCGGGGGTGCGGCTAGCTGGCACTCTGGGCAGGAGTTACAATAGTTCCTTACTTCCTGATGCACGCCAGGCCAGAAGGAGCGTGTCAGTATCCGGGCTAGAGTCTTCTCGTGGCCCAAGTGCCCGGCAGCAGGGATGTCGTGGGCGAGTTTCGTTACTGCCCGCTGGTGACATCGAGGCACGAGTAGTTGGCTCTGGGGTTCTCCAGTGCGCGGGTGCCGTTCTACCCGATAGAGCCGATCCTGTCGCAGTTCGAAGTGTGGCCACTGCTTTGCCCGGTGCGGGTCAATTATGGCCCCATCGACTGTGGCTAGTTGCTTGTAAGCATGACTGAGGGTGGGGTCTGCCCTTTGGTCACGACAAAAGTCACTGTGAAGCAGGGGTTCAGCAGCAGCTTCTGGAGGGGAGTCCTCGGGCTCTTCTTCCAGTCTGTTGGGGTCTGGCGCCTCCTCGCCCTCTGACTGGGTCTCAGGGAGGCTCCCTTCCAGTACTGGGTTAGTTGCGGGCCTCTCGTCGGCATTGGAGCGGAGGACTTCCGGGAAGTCTGGCCAGTCCCGCCCCAGGATCACCAGGTAGGCGAGCCAAGGAGCCAGGCCGACCACCGATTGCGTGACCCCATCCACGGTCAGTCGGGCTTGGGCACTGGGGTAGGGTTGTACGTCGCCGTGAATGCATTGTAGACGGATCGTCCCCAGGCAAGGGGCAGCCTGGAGGCCTAGGCTTTGGCGAACCAGTGTCTGGCCGCAGCCTGAGTCAATTAGGGCCAAGGTTGGGCAATCCCCGACAACCACTGGCACCATAATCTTGGCGGCTTGTGGGCTTCAGGTGCGGGCTTCTCCCGTGCAGACCTGGCTGAAGCTGCAATCCATCTCGGTGCAGTCTCACTGTAAATGGCCATATTTCCCACAGGAAAAACAGGGTCTGATATCTGAGTGCCCAGGCCGGGACAGTGTTCCCGCCTGGCCCCTGGGAGGGCTTTGGTTGGTCCCTGGGACATCTGGTCGAGGTACCGGGGCTTGTCGAACTGGGACCTTGGCAGGTCGGGATCGGGGCTCCAAGCCCTGTGACGGATTTCGTGGTTCGCTCCGGGTAGCCCCCCTTTTCTCTGAGTTAGGGCGCTCCGGTCCTGGCGGGGCAGCTCGAGTGATCGGTCCCACTGGTGCTTCGGCGGCGAGGAAATCCTCCATGAGTGTGATGGCAGCAGTTAAGGTCGTAGGCCGATGGCGGAGGACCCAGGCCCTCCCTCACGATGGGAGTATATGGACAAATTGCTCCAAAATAATTTGTTCAACGAGCTCATCTGGGGTTCACCTTTCGGGTTGTAGCCACCGCTTGCAGACTTCCCTCAACTCTTGGGCCACCATCCGGGGTCAGGCCCCCGTAGGGTAGACCAAGCTCCGAAACCACTGTCGGAAAGTCTCCGGGTTAACGTCCAAGGCATCTAAGATTGCCACCTTTACCTGGGTGTAGTCCCGAGCTGCATCCATGGACAGGCCCCGATATACGGTTTGGGCGGTCCCGGTCAGATATGGGGCCAAAATAGTAGCCCATTGGTCTTGGGCTCAGCCTGCGCCTAACGCCACCCTTTCAAAAGTTACCAGAAATGCTTCTGGGTCGTAGTTGGGGCCCATCTTTGTCAACAGGATGGGAGGGGCCAGGCTGGGGCTCCTCGGGACGGGGCAGCAAGGTCGCCAACTGCTGCAGGTATTGCTGCTGGTGGTCCCGGTTCTGGCGTCCCAGCTCCAAAATCAGCTGTTGCTGTTGGATCCCGAGCTGCTGGACCAGCTGCTGCTGCTGCTGGAGCTGGGCAGCGGCCTGCTACTGCTGTTGGCTTTCGGCTAGGAACTTAATAAACTTGTCCATATCCATGGTCGCTCGGGCACGCTCCACCGCAGATCCCTTCTCACAAGGATCGGGGGATCAGTGCCCACATTCTCCACCACGTGTAGGGCGGTTCGGCCGGGGCTCCTCCCCCTCCGGGGCGGCGGAGAGCCAGACCGCCTCGCTACTTTGGTCAGGTGTGTCGGGGAATTAGCTTGGCTGTGCGGCAAACAGTCAGCAGCTCCAGCCCTCTGGTGGGGGCAGAAGAAACAGTTCAATAGTAGCAAGCCCCGGCCCTAGATCACGGTGGGCAACAAACAGTCAGTAGCTCAGGCCCTCAGGCAGGGGCTGAGCAAACAGGTTCAATATTAGCAGGCCCAGGCCCTGGGTCAGGGCAGGGCAACAAACAATCAGTTGCTCAGGCCCTCAGGCAGGGGCTGAGCAAACAGGTTCAACAGCAAACCCCAGGCTCCTGGCTCTGAGCAACCGGGGAGAGGGGGAGACTGCCACCTGCGAGGTGGGTGGCAGGGGGGGACGCAGGCCCACCCACTCCACTGCGTCCTAGCCCGGGGCCCTAGCAGCGGCAGAAGACCCGCTGCTGGGTCAGTGGGGATCCTGACCACAACACACTGACATTGGCTCTGGCAGTGTTGCAGCCAGACTCGGGTCGGCTGCCCCTGGGCTACTTCCTACCTCCCCCTCTAGAGTTACCTGGGTCCAGACGGCATCCTCCACGGGGTCGCACATCATGGGCTCCTCAGGATAGCTGGCGAGTGGTAGGCCTGGCAGTTCCTCGGGGTAACGGGCAAGCAGTAGGCTTGGCAGTGTCTCTGGGCTCGGGCTAGCATCAGGCGTTGGCTGGTCTGGCCAGTCCTTGGGTCGGCCGCCGATCACCGTGGTCTCCCCACCGGGAGCTACGCCACAAGCGTCTGGTCTCTCCGGTGGCTGAGTTCCAAGTGAGCTCTGGGGTCGGGCTCTTATACTTCCTGTCCTGCGCCTTAACCTCTGAAGGGCGAGCGCAGGGTTTGCTGGCTCCGCCCACTTTGGTGTCCAGAGAGGCTCATCCCCCTCCGGGGCGGCGGGGAGCTAGACTGCCTCGCTACAAAGGGCTTTATGAAACTTCATGATGTATCTGAGTTTTACCTTTTTTTATGAGCTTGTAGTTCTGCAGCTGCTACTAATCTCCATTTCCCCTTTATCAGAGTCCCTTTAAGAACTCACATTTTCCACTCACATTCTGAGCCCTAAGTCCTTTGATTCACTCTTCATCAGGCTGGCAACAGAGTTTGTCAAAAACAGAAAAACATCCCAAAACAAATACAGTCTTTCACCAGTTCTAGTTCTACATAGTCTCCTGTTTCTTGGGCTTCCCCACCTTACTATCAGACCTTCTACCTCTAGCAGCCTGAGCTACTTCTTCCATCCATGCAACCAAACCTTCCCTACAACCTCTGGCTGCCTTTTATATTTGAATCACCTGATTCCTCTCAGATGGAGCTCATCTTGTAAGCAGGGCTAGCTCAACCCCAGGCTCTTCAGGCCAGGGGCAAGTTACTCTGTTACAGAGCCAAAGATTTCCAAGTAAACACATCAACATAGAAATCAATTGAACAAACTAAAAAAAAAAAAAAATAAAAAAAAATGAAAATAAAACTTGAAGGAAAACCAACATACAAGACTCATGAAACTAAACAAAAGATCAAAATCTGACAAAACCAGGGGAATATCTGGAAATAAGAGAAATCCAAGCACACTAGTCAATTATTTATTAACTGGTGAAATTTGTCCTGATATGAAGGACCAGCATAAGCCTTTCCATACCATTTAACATCCAAGAAGGTGGGGTGCCATTGCTTCTGCATCCCCTGTATAGTGATAGTCCAGTGGAGCTGGGCCTGCAGTAGGCCAGTAGGATTGACAGTTACATGGAACTAGATGACCCAATACCCAATGCAAATGTCATAGAGGGGCTGCTTATAGTGACACATTGGTGAGTACTTATATGGACCCCTGCTGAAATTCTGCCATCAAAGTTGGGTGTTGGGGTCACTTTCCAGCTTCTGTTGATGTTCACTAGACACTCCTATAGTATTCTTGCCAGAGATTTGTCACTGGGGCTCATAAATATGCTTTGGGAGAGAGAATGTATTACCTATGGAATGGACCAGATTTGCCCAAATGGCAGATTTTCCAATTTCTAATGGGACTCCTTCCTTGTAAGATGTTCACACCAACCTCACCACCTCAAACCATACAACCTGAGCTCAGTGCACTACTATCCTTACATTCTGCATAGCTTTCAGGAGAGCAATGGAAATATTTCAAGCTAATGGTTTTACAAATTTAAGTGCTTTTGTCACTATTTTGGGTTAAAGTTATGAATGGCTTTTTAAAAATAGGAAAATAAATTCGTATATTCTCCCTCAGTGCTTCACATGCTTTTCTGGAACAAGTGTTTAATTTTGGATTATTGGGAAAATTTTGGGGTACTCTTTCCTAATACATGGGCAGCACATCACTGGTGTTGCAGTTGCTGTCCTGTCCATAAGTATTTATGTTTCATACCCTGATTTAGAAACAAAGAATCGTTCTTGTTAGGCAATTGAAGGGCCTGTTGTTGCTTGCTCTGCTTTGCTAAGATGCATATAAAGATAATTATTCTTACTGTTTACCCATGTTCCCCAGTGCTTCATTTGTGGAACAATATTCTACACAAAACAAAGCAACTTTTGTGCCAACAACAGAGACTTTTTTTTTTTTTTTAGGTAAGTAGGAGGTTGGAATATTAGGTGTGGTAGAGTGTTGCAACAGAATCTTAACAAGAGCATGTGTATGCCCACTTCAGGTAAGCATGAGTGCAAGCACCATACAACAGACAAAATGTATGCAATGTTGAGGGGGGAGATAAAAAAATGCAGTTGAAGATTTAAAAAAATAAATGTCTACATTTGGGCTTCTAAATCTATATTTAAGCACTTAAATAAGTTGTCTGATTATTCCAAAGTACTGAGCAGCCAGCAACTTCCTTTATTCGGATGCTTTGGAGGCTAATTTTAGGCCCTTATACTGAAAATCTTGGTCTCACTCATTAGTCTGCAAAAGTTCATAGAGGTGAAATAAACTCTCCCATCCCATCTTCCTTTCTCATTTCTCACCCATCTGCCTCGGTTATCTTTCAAGTAACATTTTACTTGTTATTGCCTGACATTGTCCTTTTACCCATTTTTGTCCACAGTCACAGGGTAGCTGGTCTCTGTGGACAGACACAGCCAGGCTCCCCTGGAAATTCAGCTAATTAAAGAGGGCTGGGCTACACCTGGGCCTACAAAGGGCTGCTAGCGGGCATCTGAAGGAAGGACTGAGACAGGCTGAACCATGCACTGGCAGAGGAAGCTGTACTGGAGTGGAGCTAACTTCTGTGGCAGTCCCTAGAGCAAGAGGCCAGGGAAACAGCCCTGTGTCTGCTGCTCCAAGTGGGGAGTAGAGCTGAGTGAAGCTGGAAGGCTGCCAGGAGCTGGAATGCCGCCAGAGACCCCTGGAAGAGGTGGCCCTGAAGCCTGGGACCAAGAACTGGGTTAAGACACAGTTTTCTGTTAATTTCCTAACCTCGGTTATGAAAAATAAACCTCCTTGACTGAGACTGGGCATGGCAGCGTATGCTTTGGAGCTGGGGAGAAGTGATGGCCCTGGTGACATCAACACTAATCAGTAATTACCGGTTTGTTGATACACACAACTCGCGCGTGAGTCCAGTTTCTACTTCTTCAACTCTATCCATGCTGTAGAGCTGAGCTGGGGAATGACATCTTCCAAAGGCTGGACACAATTTCCAAATGATACCAAGAAAACCTTGAGTGTTATGGGTTTGGTAAACCTTGTTGAAACTGGTGGTTGTAACAACCAACCTACATTTGCGATAAATGTAAGATGCCCTTAAGCCCATTTATGGAACAAAGTAGCTGAAATAATAGGAGCACTGTCCAAAACAAAAGCACATGGAAGACTGGTCAGAAACAGACCCATGTGGGTGGAGAGGTTTCACTGGGTAATGTTTTAGGAGAAGTGTGTGTATGAGAAAAATAGGAAGAACACCAGAGAAGCTGATAGAGAAGCAGCAGAAATCCAATGACACAGCCATCGGGAACATAGCCCTGAGAAAAGCCTAGAGAGACCTTTGGAACTAAGTGCTGGCAGGAAAGGGACTTGAAACACTGAGCAAAGAAGCTGTCACCTGCTGTTTTACTCCTGTTGTGTTAATGGGAATAGGAGTATGTACATCCTTTGTAAATAGTATTACATCAAAGAAATACCTGACTCCAATATCAATTTCTCCCCTAACTCAAACAATATACTAGCCTGAATTTTGGCTAACTGCTTGGGCCAAAAAGGTAACGGAAGGAAAGCAACCAATTTGCCAGTGTAATCTATTCCTTTTAAATCCTTCTGGGCAATGTCCAAGGTCTTTTTTTTCTTTTATTGTCTACTATTAGGTTCTTTATTGGACATTTTGTGCAGTGTTTATGGTTTCTTTAATCTGCCTTTGGGACTTATTTGTGCAAATTGTATCAGAGGGGTAGCCGTGTTAGTCTGAATCTGTAAAAAGCAACAGAGGGTCCTGTGGCACCTTTGAGACTAACAGAAGTATTGGGAGCATAAGCTTTCGTGGGTAAGAACCTCACTTCTTCAGATGCAAGGTGATCAATTGTGCAAATTGATCACTTGTAATTTTGATTGTTTTAAGGATGGTTGTCTTTATTATGGAGACACCTAAAATTAACTACATTTAATGAACAATATTAAACCCAGGGGCGGCTCTATGTATTTTGCCGCCCCAAGCACGGCAGTCAGGCAGCCTTCAGTGGCATGCCTGCGGGAGGTCTGCTGGTAACTCGGATTCGGCAGCATGCCTGTGGGAGGTCCGCCGGTCCCGCAGCTTCGGCGTACCCGCCGCCGAATTGCCGCCAAAACCGCGGGACCAGCGGACCTCCCGCAGGCATGCCGCCGAAGGCTGCCCGACTGCCGCCCTCACAGCCTTGGTGCGCTGGTGCCTGGAGCCACCCCTGATTAAACCACATCCTTGGCTGGTGTAAATTGGTATAGCTAAGCTGATTTAAACCCACTGAGGATCTAGCCCATCTCCAGTGTAAAGAGAGAACACAAGCATAACTTCCTGGAAAACAATATAGCAGTTAAAGCCTCTGTTTCACCAGAACTTATAAAAGAGCAGGGATTTGTACAGATAGTGTTTACTTATCCTTGTCTGATTCAAAGGCTGATGTACTAGGTTGGGGTCAGAAGAATTCTCACAAATGTCCTATTTGCCCACAGTTAAAACAAAAGGAATCCGTGACTTCCAAAGACAACTGGGACTTCACCCCCGGGCGGCTGGGAGCTGCAGGTTCCTGCCGCCTCCCGCAGCAGCAGGGAGCTGTGAGGGAGCTGAGGCGATGGGCCCCCAAGCTCCCAGCCCCCATGGGCAGCAAGGGTACCCAGCCGCCACAGGCATGGTGATCCCTGCAGCTCCACACCAGCCACGACGGCAGGGGGGTCCCCGCAGCTCCCTGGCCACCGCAGCGGGGCAGGGGGACCCCCGCAGCTCCCTTGCCGCCGGAGCAAGGCAGGGAGACCCCAGCAGCTCCCTTGCCGCCATGGCAGGGCAGGGGGACCCCGGCAGCTCCCCTTCACCCCAGGAGGGCAGGGGGAACCTTGCAGCTCCCTACCATGGCGGCAGCAGAGGGATTCCCACAGCTCCCTGCTACTGGGGAGGGGGCAGGGGGACCCTGCAGCTCCCCTCCGCAGCGGTGGGTAGGGGGACCCTGGAGCTCTGAGCTCTACTGGGTAGTGGGGGCCTCGGAGTTCCCAGCCACCCCACAGCTGCCCAGTCCCTTCCCATTTTATCATGCATATTTTTAGTAAAAGTCATGGACAGGTCACAGGCTTCTGTGAATTTTTCGTTATTGCCCATGACCTGTCCATGACTTTTACTAAAAATATGCATGACAAAATCTTAGCCTTTACTATATACACTGCATTACACATTTTTGGATTGGCTTGGTTACATGGTAGAGACTAATCCCTGTTCACATACTGTTGACGCTGGACCTACTCTTTACCTCATCTTTACATTCCTGACTTATCTTGTCCATTATCTTGTTTGTAGTAAAGAGTTCCCTGGATGTTCCTCCTTTTGTCTTGAGGGAACATTACATTCTGTCTCTTAGCTTACTGACCCATTTACTTATCTTAGCACAAATAGTTCGTTTTCAGGCTGCTAACCAATTTACCTCTCTTCTTCCAAGAAATGAGGCATCCCCCATGTTTAATTATTTATGTCAGGCCAGGCCTACAATCCTAAAGAAACTAACTACAAACTGAATATAAACAAACGTGAAACTGACTAGTCTATACTCATTCTCAAAGCTAGGTGATATGCAAAAAGTGAGCAAAGTGCATATATAGTCTAAAGCTGAGAGTTCAAATTCTAAGTTTTAATAACCTGGGAAAGTGTGTGTTTTCACAAATATAGGATTCAATCCTGAAGACTTTTTACTTGGTCCTTACTCAGACAAAGCTCCTCTTGACTTCAAGGAGTCTTGCCTGAGCAAGGATTTGACTTGTAGTGTTTAACCCAACAGTACCCCTTTAAAACTCAAATGTGTAACTTTGTAGTATTTTGACAATCTGGAAGATTAAGTAAATTGAATTCTTTAAAACTACGTGGGGATTTGTTGCAGGCCCATGTCATGTGCCCCTGCAGTAGGTAGCACAGTCACGTGAAATGGATCCAAATTTCTGTCTCCAAGCAGACATTTTTGTTCCAACTTCTGTTCTTTGCTAACATCAAAAGGCAGTCAGCCCTAAAGTGATAATTACAGATGACTTTGCTAACTTTCTTAATGTGATTTCCGGAGCTCCCAGCACTCCATTATGGACGGTCTCCCCTTTGCTCCTTTGTCCCGCACTTGGCTTTTGATTGCTTGATGCATAGTGTCCCACTGAGCAAATCACAGTGGACTAATTAAAAACTACTTCAAGCTATGCAAGATCCTCACAAATATGAAAAGCCTTTTCAAAGCCATATGGTTGTGAAGTGCCATAAAATTAAACTTTCAAAAACAATCAAAGCTCTGTGCATATACTCCTAAGTATATTTTAGTCCAAGAAAAAAGCTGTTACTTCTGTTGTAGGTTGCTACTAATCTTTTTTCAGTACCTGATGGCCATTACTGAATGCTACATGGAAGAGCTTTTTGAATACTGGCAATTTAATTCCATCAGATGTGATTACATATAATAACAAAACTGGAGACATTTACCCTTAAATTTACTTGATCCAGAAAATATAATTGAAGTACGGAGCCAGCATTAGTGAGTTTATATCACAGTTCAGTCAATGTGACAAGGGAAACCAAACCTCATGCCTCTGTATGTCATATGATTGCCTGTGAAGGTCAGGAAGATGTTTTTGTCTCCATATCATAATATATGTAAGCGGGGGAATGGTCCTGCTATTGTGGGGAACTTTCCTGGCTTCTGCACTATCCCGGTGAAGTGGGCTAGCGAAAGGATCTGAGTCCTCGCTTCCACTTCCTTTACCCAGAGGCCTCCCTGCCCTTGAGGACTCCCCTTCCACTCTCCTGTCTGGCAGAGTCCTCGGAACCCTAACAAGGCTGGGCCCAGGATTCCTGGGGGGCTCAACTCCCAACCCTGCTGTGGTCATCTAGGACAGGGGCTAGGGTGTCCCCACTCCGGGGTACTCTCTCTGCACTGGGTACCTCCCTGACCCACTGATCATTTCATACAATTTAAAGCAAATACAAGTTGTTTAATTAACAATTAATTTAAAAAAAGAATAAGGAAAAATGGGAAAGGTTAAAGGAAAACACATCACCCTGCTCTGTGGCAGGGAATATTACAAACAGTGTCTCTGGACATCAGGGCACTTTGCAGTCTGTTCCTTGTAGGTCCCAGGTCTCCTTCTCAGGTCCTGGCTGTGCTGCAGGTTGGATACTTGCAATGGTGGTGGCCACACACCTCCAGACTTTGGGTGGTGGGACCCTTCTTCCCAACATCAGCCCCCCATCAGGTTAGGATCTCCCTCCCAGTCTGGCCTGCAAGGACCCTTGGCTAGGGGTGTCTTTCTGCGCTGGGCCCTTTGCCCAAGGTCCCCCCCTTGGCTGGCCTCAGTTGCTCACCACACCTGGCTCTGTGGCTGCAGCTCTGCTCCCAGCACAGGATCTGCTCTCCCTGGGCTGCGTCTCTGGCTCCGTGGCTGCTTTTCTGGCCCCTCTGGATCTGGCCCGGCTCTGCTCCCTAGCTCAGCTTGGGCCCCTGCTTTCTCCTTAGCTCGGCCCCGTTCTGTCTGACCCAGGCAATTCCAACTCACATGGAGAACGGGACCCACCCTGGCCTCCTGACTGCCTGATTAGCCTGCCCGCTCTGTCAATCAGGCTGACCTGGAGCACTGGCCTCTCCCCATTGTTCCTGGGGACTGTCGGTCTCAGGGTCCTGTTTTCACATCGACCCTTCCCCTTTTAGTACTGGGAGCTAGCCAACCAAAACACCCCCACTGAATGTTAGTAAGGGGGCAACAGTCCCCTTACATATAGCATAACTGGGGAACCTTGACCTTCTTTTGAAACTTAATGGCCACCACTGGAAGCAGGAAAATAGTCTAGATGGGCCATCAGAATGATCCAGTATAACAGCCTTCGTGGTCAGAGTCCCGCAAAGTTTGGGGTGCCACTGGCTCACATTGTAAGAACAGGACCTGTGCTCTTAAAAGCCCAGACTCTCATGGTCTTCCTTTTAGTGTTTGGCTGTTACTGAAGTGCTTTTGGAACAGTGGGGAACCTCTCTTCCCCTCTTTGGATTCAAGTTAGACAGTTCTACACTGGTGATGATTTTCTCTGTTTTCCCCAACCTGAAGCAGATACTCACCAGCAACTACACACCACACCACAGAAACTCTAACTCAGGAACCAATCCCTGTAACAAATCTCATTGCCTACTCTGCCCCCATATCTACTCTAGCGACACCATCAGAGGACCCAACCACATCAGCCACACCATCAGGGACTCGTTCACCTGCACATCTACCAATGTGATATATGCCATCATGTGCCAGCAATGCCCCTCTGCTATGTACATTGGCCAAACCGGACAGTCTCTAAGTAAAAGAATAAATGGACACAAATCGAACATCAGGAA